GGACAGCATCCCATAGGTCATCTTGACTGTTCTGCTGCAGTATTTCTGCCAGGGCTTCCTCCAACTGGCTGAAAACATAAACTACCAGCCTCATAAGGGATTTAGAAATGCACAGTGATTCATAAGGATCTGAGTCTGAATCTGGGGGCTCATGCTCAGAATGACTTTTTCAGGGAGAAGACAAGTTCTTCCCTGAGACTTATTAAGGTAAAAGTTATGGGACGGTGAGGCATATGTTAACAGTAATAACATGGAAAAGAAAAGTTGTGACAGAGATCATTATCATTCCATTTGCTTAATGATGTACTGCCTCAGCATGGGCCCAAGTCCAGGAAATACAAAATTCCATGGTCTTTACCATCACTTTATACTTCTAGACACATTATATATTTATGGCTATATACACACATATATGTATATATAATATATACATGTGTTACACATATGTGTAATATATATGTCTGTTAAATATTTAACGTATAATATATGCATAGTGTTACATATATAACGCATAATACATATTGTGTATTAAGTATACATATTATACATATGTTATGTAGGTATGATCCAAGTGTTACATGTATAACATATATCATTATATTAAATATGTGTACATGTTACATACATATATCATAATGTATTACACATTACATATAATTATACATATATATTATACATTATGCATGTATCACATATATGCACATATATTACATAGAATGCATGTATTATACATGTAACACATGTATATACATGTATTATGCATGTGTAGTGTACATGTACATATATAATATACAGGTATAATATATATACACACATATAAATCATATCTATTTACTGATTTCAACATTGATTGAGCATCTATTCTGTATGAAATACGCTTCTCTATCTATTGGTACAGGCAACACCCATGACATAGAGTAGCCGTTTAATAAACACCAATTTCCTTGCTTCATTTGCATTTTTCATTGCTAATTCGAGCAAGGAGGAGACTGTGGGAGAACTCTATGCTGTTTCCATAACATCAGCTTTTCTCCATGTCATCCCACCTTCTCAAATCTGTGAAATCTGCTGAAAGAGAAAAGACGGCAAGAACAGAAAATGCAAGCTTTATTTTTGTAAGCCTGCTGCAGCTACCTCATTGGTTAGAGCTTAATATATTTCTCTGCTAGAGGAGCAGCTTCTTATTGACAATGTTGGCTAAGCTATTGAATACTCATGCCAACATAGATAGGCTCTGGACAAGGAATTACACATGCATTATGCCATTAGCTGATTTCAGGCACAATTTGGAAGGTAGGATGATGAACCAGCCATGTAATTATGATTATATGCTTCATTAATTCCAAGTGTCATTTATCCTGTGTTGTCTAATATATAAAATAAGTTAAATGGACTCCCTTCTACTCTACCAATCTTCCATCTCCCTCTGCCAGTGTATATAAACTCCTTGTTGAAATGTTTAATATGAATTTTTTATTCAGTATAACTCCAAGTGACTGACAGTCCCCAAATGTCAGACCTTTGCTGAAAGAAGCATGTCTGAGGATCTCTGAAGGCTAATTAATGCTTCAGTCGCATTGTGCTCTGAGAGAAGGTACAGAATGACTTAATAAGAGATGAAGAGAGTGCTGAAAATTATTGTAATAGAACAAAGAGAACTCTTTTCAAAATTTTCTTTTTTTAAAGTAAAATAAAATAAAACCCAGACTCAGAAACTAGAACAATTCACAGCTTGGAAGAAGAGAGCAATACACAATTCAATGTCTCTTGACCATCAGTGATATCACAAAACAGATATACGTATACAGTACATTGCTGCTGAATGCATGAGGTGCACACCTCACATAGTTTTTGCTGAAGGCTTAAAGGGCCTTCTCCTAAATCCAAGTGCCTGTTATCAAGCTGAATTATTACTTGAAAATGATTAAATATCTAAAGAAGGTCCAAAGGGGAATAAACAAGTCATATTCAACCTCTAAAAGATTCTGCAGAGAAAATCAGGAGTAAAAGCAACACACACAAAACATAGAACTGGTCTGTATTTCAGTAAAGATGCTATTTGTAGACATCCTATGCTTCTAGATAAAAATCCCGTAACAGGAAATATATTGCCACACATCTCACTCTGCTAGTATGTCCAGTTAGTCAAAGTAACAATTTGTTACTTTGAACTAATTTCAGCTAAATGCAAGAAATTTCTGTTTTATTAAATATTTTCAGTAAGTGAGAATAGGGTGCCAGACACCAAGGAAGGGACCAAATGAGCCACTGGTAGGTCTGCAATTAACGAGCCTGGAAAACACACGAGCCATCCGTTTTGTGTCTGTTGGCAGCAAATGATGCACATGATCTTGCCCGTGCTTTTAATATCCTCTCTGGGAATAATTTTACTCTTTCTGTGGACCTGGTTGGGGGAGATTATCAGGGAAGCTTGTGAAAATTTGTGGGCTCATGGTCTGGAAGAAAGCTATTCTTGGACGATGCTCTTTCAAAAAAAAATAAAAGTTAATCTGCTTGTGAGAATTTTTTTTTTTTTGCAGTAATTGACACTAATTTTGTGTGCCTTTTTGTATAGTTTCTTCATGTACCTAATATAGCAGGATGCATTTGATAAAAGCAGCTTCTACCAACCTGATGTGAAATGAGTGAAATTTCTGCAGCTTTTCATCACCAAAACCTTCTTTCACTTTGTTTCTGTGGCTTTTTATTGTTCTCTTCTTTGCATGACTCCTCTCTTTTATTCGTAATGGACTGTAAACATGCTGAAGTTAGGAAGTACATCTGCTTATTCCCCATTGCATTCTCAGTGCTTGAGTTACATCACACAGAAGCAATCTCAACAAATTTTTGTTGAATGAAGAGATGCATCAGGCATTTTGCATTACAATTATTTGTTTCAATATTTCCTTGCCCCATCCCCAACTGTTTGAGTTTGGGAGTTATATCTAATTTTTCCTTCATCTTTCCAAAATAAAGTTAGTATTTGTGCTTAAAGTTTTATATTTGCTCATTTACATTATTATCTGCTGCCAATAAACAAATGATTTTGTCCACCATTTATTGTTATTCTGATTCAATTCCACTTTATCCCACAATAATATTGAACCTTCTGCTTTCTTTACTTGTGCAATAAACTGGCATTTCTTTGCCTATCATTTGCTTAAAATCTTTTGGAATCATTTCATGTTTCTTATAAACATTCTGTAGTGTAGATATTTTTAATAAAAATATTACTAATTTATGATTATAGTATGTAAATTTGGTCTGACTCTGTCATCTAGTTTTACATTTTCTTACTATTGCCATTCCTTCAACTTCATGTCTAAGTTTTTGATGTTATTTACAATAGACTGATTAAATTCTATCAATAGCATCATAAACATTTACATACACTTACAAGTACACACATCTGCACTTCAACCTTTATTTCATCATTAGTAATAACACTGTGATATCCTACATTTAGACCAACTCTTCTACTCAGGGAGTTTATTTTCTTCTGTGGCATACCTTCCTTAGCACAGATCGTCATCATCTAGTTTTTGCCATCCCGAACTTTCTCATTCAAAAGTAATTTTTAATACATGCCTCTACTCTTGTGTCTAGCTTTATAAAATTATGTGTTATCAATGCCATGCTTGACTGATTTCAGTGTTTGCCTGTCATATTTTTATGCCATCATCTCTCTGATCTCAAGCTCTTAATTTTGCTGTCTTACTCAGTAAGTGAGGCGCATATTCACCTGTCATTATTTTTCTTTTTACTAAAATGCTACGTTTCCTGAGCCCTTACTGGCTTCTTGTTGTGTAACTTTAAGTGTTGTAGTGATAACTCTGAAGCCAGTCTGTTTTCTTTTGTTTTATTAAGTCACTTTTTTCTTTTCCTCGGTTCCTTCAAATGTTATTGAAGGACATTTTTACCCCTGTCATATAATTTAAAAATTATGACCACATGTACATCCTTGTAGTTCTCTTTTCTGACTTTGCTGAGCAAGCAGTGTACTTTCTCAGTTATCCTTTCTATATTTTGCTAAACTCAGGAAGATTATTGTTGTTGTTGTCATAAGTAGATGTAACAGTTTTCTGCGCTTTTTCTTAGTTCTGCTCTGGTCTCTTCATTTGGAACCCTGATCACAGATCTCCTTCATCTTCATTCTGTGTACTTCATGTTAATCGCCTTTCCCTTGTCTAAATTCTTAGAAAACGTTTTACATCTGTCCTTTGCAGCAAAGATGCATTTTACCTGAAGATGGGATTTTGCTTCTCATTGTCTCCAATTTGGATCACAGTTATGACTTTACATTTTTAATTACCTCAAATCGTTCTTAATCTTGCCCACCCCTTCTAATATAAATGAACTGCTCAACAACCCTTTGATCTTAGGACTTCCTGCTTCCATTTCAGAGAATGCCTTTTTGCATTTTATTGAGGACAATAAACACATTCATGTGAATTTATGCTGGTTCCTGCACAAACAATTTCTGGAGATCTAGGGTTTATATATTTCAAGGTCATTTTCCCTTTTTAGAGTTTATGCAGATTCCTTTTCCTAGCCACACTCAGTTAGTTTTCCTCTCTATTTTCACTTGAATGAACTGAGAACTCTCAGAAGTGAGCGGGGGCTGGTCTTTGACCCAGCTCTTCAGCCACTTCAGAATAGCCCCATTAGGCTATTTCAGAGGTCAAGAGAGACCCAGACCATTTCCGTTTTTCAGGCATCTTATATATTTAAAAGTAACAAAAAAATCATTACACACAACATTGCAATTGTGGTATATTTAGATATAACAAATTACTGTTCTTTAATATACACACATATAAAAGTAACCATATGTATAACCTCATTTTAAAAATACATATAAATAAGAGATTCTGTCTGAGGTTTACAGAAATATTCTTTCTCACATTTTTCAGTGATAGATCTTTGGTGAGATTTCTTTTTCAAATACACAGTTTGAGATACGTTAATGTACATAGCCTTTAACCCACTGCATACATTTTTAGTGTTCATTCTTTCACTATGTCTTGTACTCTTCGAAACACACAGAATACTATCTTGCTTTCCTGTTCAAGTTCTGAGCCAACTGAGAAATCAGACAAGAGTCAGCAGGTGGAGAATGAAACCCACCTTTTGTTATTGAAAACATTCCTGGCTGGATGATGTAGCTGTTCGTGAAATCTAAAATGAGTTTACTGATGCTCCATTCTCAAGTTGAAACTTGAATCAATAGTACATGCCAACTTCTGTCAGCTTCTAGCTTTCTGAGTGAAGAGGACGGAGGATGAGATTGTGTCCCTACACTCATGGCCTTGTTAGATGAGCTCCAACCAACCAAGAACAGAAACTACTGATTTCTACACACAAACTATGTTATCGTCCTTTTTTCCATGAGTAAGAGGAAATAGACAAGCAAGAAATCAGGAATCCTTTATAAATAGAAGAATGGAAAAATATGATTATCCTTAAATATGAAAACTTCCTCTCTTCTCAGTACTTAAATCTCTGATTATCTGAATGAATAAAGTTCTTAAAGAAAAAAAAAAAGCTTTTATATCCAGCACACTGTGTCTAAAAAGCTTCCTATTATTAACATAGTCAGGGCACCGGCACTTCTGACAGGTCCCCACCCCAACACAGACAACAGGCTCACTCTCTCTGCTTTATTGGCTCTTGTGAGCTATTATCTCTCAACAAAAATAGAAAGGGAGAGGGCTATAAAATTGCCTCAAATTCTGCTTTTATGCAACTGAATCCATGTCCCAGAACCTAAATGCAAGGAAAAGACTGCCTAGTATCCACCTGAATTAGTTCCTTCTCACTGCTAATGAGGAGGGAGACCCAGGCATTTGGGATCTCCCAGCTGAAATACATTCCTTCCTCCTGTATTCAGTGTCCAAGAGATCCTTTCCCCTGACCACTCCTGCTACACTAATAAAGATATGCCTACTTCTGGGTAATTTATAAAGGAAAGACATTTAATTGATTCACAGTTCTGCATAGCTGGGGAAGCCTTAGAAAACTTACAATCATGGCAGAAGGGGAAACAAACACATTTTTTTTTCACATGGCAGCAGGAGAGAGAATGAGAGTGAGCAAAGGAGGAAGCCTCTTATAAAACTATCAGATCTCTTGAGAATTCTCACTATCATGAGAACAGCGGCCTGGGAGTAACAGCCCCCATGATTCAATTACTTTCCACTGGGTTCCTCCCACAACACACAGGGATTATGGCAATTACAATTCAAGATGAGAATTTGGGTGGGGACACAGCCAAACCATATCACCACCTACCAGTCCTATTACATGTACCTAAATGTCCCTGTGGTTAACTTTCTCTCAGAGCCTGGCAATGGATTATCTGTTTGATAATTATCATTTTTTGTTGGCAATGCCAGTCTCATTCATTTATTATCTCTTCATAGCTATTTAATGAAAATGCTGTTGTCTCTGCTAAATTTGATGCCAACTTAAGTGGTAACCTATGTTTGTGGAATTTATGGCACATGAGAGTTGCAAATTGTTTTCCAGTTTTAGAGTGATGCAGTTTTCATTGTTCTTTGAGAGGCATACGTTGAAAGACCATACCCAACTGAATCAAGAATGCTGACTTGGTTAAAATGCAACATACACAAAAAAACCCAACCAAGAACGATAACAAAAAATCCCTTTGGTTTGGTGGCACACATATTTTTCAGATTCTACTTTTTTGCCTGATTTTCAGAAATTGAATGCATTAAAATCAAGCAGTTTATACTCAGAAAAAAGTGGTAACTAACGATGGTAGGTAGATAGTGAAATATTGATTACTAGTTGGAAGCAAATCTACACACTGAGTTCACAAGATTGTGCTCTGCTTATGCAGGAAAACTAAGGGATAAGGCCAGAGTGCACAGCTGTCATCTACAGTCCAGGCCCAATGGCACAGATGCCATTTTTCATCAGCTAATTGGAGACAGTATGTCATGTTCTTTACGATTTATCCCCACTGACAGCTTAAAAAGAATGATAACAATTACATAAAAATTAAATAATTTGTTCCTGAATGACTTTTGGGTAAACAATAAAAGTAAGGCATAAATGAAACAATTCTTTGAAATAAATAAAAACAAAGACAAAAATAATTAAATCCCTGGGATACAGTAAAAGCAGCTTTGGTGGAAAGTTTATAGTGCTAAATGCCTACCTCAAAAAATTAGGAAGTTCTCAAATTATTGTATGTCCCATGTAGAGGAACTAGGAAAATGAGAACAAACTTACTGTAAAGCTAGTAGAAGAAAAGAAATAACTAAAGTCAGAGATGAACTGAATGGAGACCAAAAACTCCACACAAAGAATCAGTGACACCAAAAGTTGGTTCTTCAAAAAGATAAACTAGGGTGATAGATCACTAGCTAGATTAACAAAGAAGAAAAGAGAGAAGATCCAAATAAGCACAATAGAAATGACGAAGGTTACATTACAAACAATCCCACTGAAATACAACATATCCTCAGAGACTATTATGAATACCTCTATGCACAAAAACTAGAAAATCTAGAGAAAATGGATACATTCCTGGAAACACACAATCTTCCACCATTGAACCAGTAAGGAACTGAAACCCTGAACAGATCGGTATGAGTTCTGAAATTGAGTCAGTAATAAAAAAAAAAAAAAAATCTACCAACTAAAAAAGCTCCAGACCAAATGGATTCACAGCCAGATTCTATCATATGTACAAAGATAAGCTGGCACCAATTCTATGGAAAATATTTAAAAATCCAGGAGGAACTCTTCCCTAACTCATACTACAAAGCTATTATTGCCTGGATACAAAATCCTAGCAAAGACACAGTGAGAAAAAGGAAACTACAGGCCAATATCCTTGATGAATGTAGATGTAAAAATTCTCCACAAAATACTAGGAAACTGAATCTAGCAGTAATTCACCATGATCAAGTAGGTTTCATTCCTGTGATGCAAGGTTGCTTCAATATCTGCAAATCAATAAACATTATTAACCAAAAAACATAGAATTTCTATGATCCTCTCAATAGACTTTGACAAAGCTTTCAATAAAATGCAATATTCTCTCATGATAAAAAGCCTCCAACATCTCCAACAAACTAGGTGTGAAAGAAACATATCTCAAAATAACAAGAATTATCTATGTTTAACATCCTGCTGAATGTGAAAAACTGGAAGCATTCCCCTTGAGATCTTGAACAAAGCAAGGATGCTGCTCTCACCACTCCTCTTCTATGTAACACTGGAAGTAATAACCAGAGCATTCAAGTAACAGAAAAAAACAAAAGATATCTAAATACATAAAAAATAAGTCCAGCTATTTATCTTCATGGTTGATATATCTATACCTAGAAAACCCTAAAGATACCTCCATAGGCTCCTGGAACTGATAAACATACTTCAGTAAAGTCTCAGAATACAAAACCAATGTACAAAAATCAGTAAGATTTCTATACACCAATACAGTTCAAGCTGGGAATAAATATCAAGAACACAATCCCATTTACAATAGCCACAAAACAAATAAAATATGTAAGAATACATCTAACCAAGGAGGTGAAAGATCTTTACAAGGATAACTACAAATCACTGCTAAAAGAAATCATTCATAACACAAGCAAATGGAGAATATTCTCATGCTCATGAATTGAAAGAATTAATATTGTTGAAATGGCCATACTGCCCAAAGCAATGTACAGATTCCAATCCATTTCTATCAAACTACCAATGTCATTTTTCACAGAGTTAGAAAAACCATTCTACAATTCTTATGAAATGTAGGAGTCTGAGTAGCCCAGGCAATCCTAAGCAAAAACACAACAAAGCAAAACAAAACAACAGCAACAACAACAACAACAACAAAACAAAGCTGAAGGCATCAGGTTACCTGACTTTGAATTATGCTATAAGACTGTAGTAACCAAAACAGCATGGTACTGGTACAAAAACAGACACATAGACAAATGGAACAGAATAGAGTACCCAGAAATAAAGCTACACACCTACAGCAATCTGATCCTTAACAAAGCTGACAAAAATAAGCAGTGGGAAAATGACTTCTTATTCAACAAATGGTGCTGGGATAACTGGCTAGCCATATGCAGAAGAATAAAAGTGGACCATTATATTTAACCATGAATACAAATTAGCATACCACAGGTTAAAGATTTAAATAGAAGACCCCAAACTATAAGAATCCTAAAAGAAAATTTAAGATATACTATTCTGGAAAGAATTTATGGCTACATCCTCAAAAGCAATTGCAACAAAAATGAAAATTTACAAGTGACACCTAATTAACTAAAGAGCTTCCACATGGCAAAAACAGCTATTAACAGAGTAAACAGATAACCTATAGAACTGGAGAAAATATTCATGAACTATGAAACCAACAAAGATCTAATATTCAGAATCTGTAAGGAACATAATTCAAAAAGCAAAAGACAAATAACTTCTTTAAAAACTGGACAAAAATCAGTTATTTCCCTAAAGAAGACATACACAAGGCCAATAAACATGTGAAAAAATGTTCCACATTATTAATCATCAGAAAATGCAAATCAAAACCACAATGAGGTATCATACCAGTCAGAATTGATGTTTTTTTAAGAAGTAAAAACAAAACAAAAACAAACACACACAAATGCTGGAGAGTCTGTGGTGAAAAGGGATTGCTTATACACTGTTAGTGGGAATGTAAATTGGTTTAACCACTATAGAAAGCAGTTTGATCTGTGGGTTGCACAGATCTATGTGAAAAGCATGGTTTCCCAGGCCAGGCAGCACAGCACTCACAGCCTCCTTGGCTGTGGGTAGGAGCTCCTCTTTCCCCATATGGCTCCCAGATAGCCAATTGCACCACTGTGCTTTTCCTTGCTCTCCATGGGTTATGCCAACCACCTAGTCAGTCCCAATGAGAGAACCTGGTTACTTCAGTTGCTGGTATAGAATTCACTCACCATTTTCCTAATTCTCAGTTGGAGCCTCCAACCACAGTTGTTTCTAGTCAGCCATCTTGGCACTTTATCCCTTGTGAGCCCATGCCACCATGGCCATGTGTCCCAAGCAGAGTGCTGTGCAGATTCTCAGCAGCCACTTGTCTGGAGACTACCCAAGACTACCAAATTCCCAGGGGCAGGGGTGGCCATAGTCACTGTGGCTGCCTGCTGCAGGCCCCAGTCTGCTGTTTTCCCCTGCCAGTGCTGGTGAGACTGAATGGTTAGGGCCCGGGAAGAATTTCCAACAGTGTAGCATAGCAGCTGTGGCAGATTGTGACCTGACTGCCTCTCTGGGCACTCTGACTCATCCTTTCTCACTAGGCAGGGCCTCCCTGCCAGTATTTCAGCTACTCCAACCAGGTGTTTAGGGACAGAGTTCTGATCTCCCTCGGACTGAGCCCCTTTGGGGAGGGGTGGCCATGTTCTCCACGTATCATTAGACTTAATGTTTCACCCTGCTGGCTCTAAGGAATCCAGGCAGTCTAGACCAGTGGGATTCTCCCCAGAACAGTGCCCCCTCACTGCCAAGGGGTAGCCACAGTGATTTGTTAAACAGGTCCTGTGCCTTCTGACTGGGTGAGATTCCCCCAACAGGAGTCACCAAACATCTTTTACAGGAGCATTCCCACTGGAATCAGGTCAGTGCACCTCTGGGACAGAGATCCCAGAGGAAGGAGCAGGAAGCCATCTTTGCTGTTCCACAGCTTCCGCTGGTGACACCTCCAGATGCAGGAGGGACCCAGGTGATTAGGGTCTGGAGTGAACCCACAGCAAACTGCAGCAGCCCTACAGAAAAGGTGTCTGACTGTTTAAAAAGAAAAATAAACAGAAAGTAACAACAAGATCATCAACAAAAATGTCCCCACAGAAACCCCATTCAAAGGTCAGCAGCCTCAAAGAACAAAGACAGAGGAAACTCACAAAAATGAGAAAGAATCAACAAAAAAATTCTGAAAACTCAAAGGTCAAGAGTGCCTCTTTTTTTCCAAATGATCACAACATCTATTCCAGCAAGGAGACATAACTGGGGGGAGGCTGTTATGGAGAATTGACAAAAGTAGGCTTCAGAAGGTGGGTAACAGCCAACTTTGCTGAGCTAAAGGAGTATGTTTTAACCCAATGCAAAGAAGCTAAGAACCATGATAAAACATTACAGGGTCTGTTAAGCAAAATAACCAGTTTAGAGAGAAACATAAATAACCTGATGGAGTTGAAATATACAACACAAGAATTTCACAATGTAACCAAAAAATCAGTAACTGCATAGACCAAGCAGATGAAAGAATTTCAGAGCTTGAAGACTGTCTTTCTGAAATAAGACAGGCAGACAAGATTAGAGCAAAAAAGAAAGAAATGAAAGAAACAAAACCTCTGAGAACTATGGCATTATGTAAAAAGACCAAACCTATGAATGACTGGGTGCCTGAAAGAGATGGGGAGAATGAAACTATGTTGGAAAATGTACTTCAGGATATCAACAAAGAGAACTTCCTCAACAGAACAAGGCAGGCCAATATTCAAATTAAAGAAAACCAGAGAACCCCAGTAAGATATCCTATGAGAAAATCAACCCCAAGATACATAATCATCAGATTCTCCAAGGTTGAAGTGAAGAAAAAAACATTAAAGGCAGTCAGATAGAAGGGCCAGGCCACCCACAAAAGGAAGTCCATCAGACTAAGAGTGGGCCTCTCAGCAGAAACCCTATGAGCCAGAAGAGATTGGAGGCCAATATTCAACATTCTTAAAGAAAAGGATTTCCAACCCAGAATGTTATATCCAGTGAAACTGAGCTTCATAAGCAAAAGAGAAATAAAATCTTTTCAGATAAGAAAATCATGAGGAATTCATCACCACCAGGCCTGCCTTGCAAGAGCTCCTGAAGGCAGCACTAAATGTGGAAAGGACAAATTGTTAGCAGCCAGTGCAAAACCAGACTGAAGTACAAAGACTAATACGCTGTCAAACAACTATATCAACAAGTCTGCAAAATAAATAACTAGTATCAAGATGGCAGGATTAAATTCACACATAACAATATCAGTCTTAAAAGTAAGTGGGCTAAATGCCCCTAATTAAAAGACACAGAATGGCAAGCTGGTTAATGAATCAAGGTCAATTGGTGTGCTGTATTCAAAATGCTCATCTTACATGCAAAGACACACATAGGCTCAAAATAAATAAATGGAGAAAAATTTACCAAGCAAATGGAAAGCTAAATAAATAAATAAATAAATAAATAAATAAATCAGGGGTTGCAATCCTAGTTTCTGACAAAGCACAAAGCAAACTTTAAACCAGAACTCAGGATTAAGAAATTTATTCAAAACCACAAAACTATATGAAAATTAAACAACCTGCTCCTAAATGACTCCTGAGTAAATAATGAAATTAAGGAAGAAATCAAGAAGTTCTTTGAAATTAATGATAACAAAGAGTCAACATACCAAAATCTCTGGGATGCAGCTAAAGCAAGGTTAAGAGGGAAATTTACAGCACTAAATGCCCACATCGAACAGTTAAAAAGATGTCAAATTGACACTCTAACATCACAATTAAAAGAACTAGAGAAACAGGAGCAAACCTAAAGCTAGAAAAAGACAAGAAATAGCCAAGATCAGAGTGAAACTGAAGAAGACACATACATTAAAAACCCTTCCAAAAAAATCAACAATCAAGAAGCTGTTTTTTTGAAAAAAAAAATAATAATAATAATGAAATAGATAGACAGCTAGCTAGACTAATAAAGAAGAAATGAGAGAAGAATCAAATAGACAAAATAAAAAATGACAAAGGGGATATCACCACTGACCCCACATAGATGCAAACAACCATCAGAATATACTGCTAGATTGGTGTAAACTAATTGTGGTTTTTGGCATTAAAAGTTATGCAAAAACTGTAATAACTTTTCCACCAACCCAATATAAAAACTTCTATGCAAATAAACTAGAAAATCTAGAAGAAATGGATAAATTCCTGGACATATACACCCTTCCAAGGCTGAACCGGGAAGAAGTTAAATCCCTGAATAGACCAAGAATGAGTTCTGAAATTGAAGCAGTAATAAATAGCCTACTAACTAAAAAAAGCCCAGGACCATATGGATTTACAGCTGAATTATACCAGAAGTACAAAGAGGAGCTGGTACCATTTTTTTCTGAAACTATTCCAAACAAACCGAAAAGGAGAGACTTCTCCTTAACTCATTTTATGTGACTAGCATCATCCTGATACCAAAACCTGGCAGAGACGCAACAACAAAAGAAAACTTCTGGCCAGTATCTCTGATACACCATTGATGAAAAAAAAAATGCTGGCAAACTGAATCCAGCAGCACATCCAAAAGCTTATCCACCACGATCAAGCTGGCTTCATCTGTAGGATGCAAGGCTGGTTCAACATATGCAAATCAACAAACATAAATTCATCACATAAACAACTAAGAAAACCACACATGATTACCTCAATAGATACAGAAAAGGCCTTTGATAAAATTCAACATCTCTTTATGTTGAAAACTCTCAATAAACTAGGTACTGATGAAGTATACCTCAAAATAATAAGAGCCATTTATGACAAACACAGCCAATGTCATAATGAATAAGCAAAAGTTGGAGACATTCTCCTTGAAAACTGGTACAAGACAAGGATGTCCTCTCTTACCATTCCTATTCAACACAGTATTAAAAGTTCTGGCTAGGGCAATCAGGCAAGAGAAAGAAATAAAGAGTACTCAAATAGAAAGAGAAAGTTGAACTGTCTCTGTCTGCTGATGACATAATCCTATATCTAGAAAACCCAGTTGTCTCAGCTCAAAAGATTCTTAAACTGATAAGCAGCTTCTGAAGTCTCAGGACACAAAATCAATGTGCAAAAAGCACAAGCATTCCTACATGACAACAATAGGTAAGCATAGAGCCAAATTATGAATGGACTCCAATTCACAGTTGCTACAAGGAGAATAAAATACCTAGGAATATAGCTAATGAGTAAAGTGAAGGACCTCTTCAAGGAGAAATAAAAACCACTGCTCAAGGAAATCAGAGAGGACACAAACAAATGGAAAAGCATTCCATACTCATGGATAGGAAGAATCAATATTGTGAAAATGGCCATAGTGCCCAAAGTAATGAATAGACTGAAATCCATTCCTGTTAAATTACCATTGACATTTTTCACAGAAATAGAAAAAAAACACATTACAATTTACATGGAACGACAAAAGAGCCCATATAGCCAAGGTAATCCTAAGCAAAATGAACAAATTTGGAGACATCACACTATCTGACTTTAAAATACTCTACAAGTCTACAGTAATCAAAACAGCATAGTACTGGTATAAAAACAGACACATAGACCAATGTGTCAGAATAGAGGCCTCAGAATTAAGACCACACATCTGCAACCATCTGATCTTTGACAAACCTGACAAAAACAAGCAATGGGGAAAGGATTTCCTATTTAATAAATGGTGCTGGGAAAACTGGCTAGCCATAAGCAGAAAACTGAAACTAGATTCCTTCCTTACACCTTATACAAAAATTAACTCAAGATGGATTAAAGACTTAAATGTAAAACACAAAACTGTAAAAACTCTTGAAGAAAATCTAGGCAATACAAATCAAAACATAGGCAAAAGCAAAGATTTCATGATGACCATACCAAAAGCAATTGCAACAGAAGCCAAATTGACAAATGGGATCTAATCAAACTAAATCACTTCTTTAGAGCAAAAGAAACTATCATCAGAGTGAACAGGCAATCTATAGAATGGAAGAAAATTTTTGCTATCTACCCATCTGACAGAGACCTAATATCCAGAATCTACAAGGAATTTAAACAAATTTATGAGAAAAAAAAAAAACAAACGACTCCATCAAAAAGAAAAGGATATGAAGAGACATTTCTCAAAAGGAAACATTTATGCAGCCAAAAAACATATATAAAAAACTCAACATCACTGATCATTAGAGAAATTCAAATCAAAACCACAATGAGATACTACTCATGCCACTCAGAATGGTGATTATTAAAAAAATCAAGAAACAACAGATGCTGGTGAGACTGTGGAGAAATAGGAATGCTTTTACACTATTGGTAGGAGTGTAAATTAGTTCAACCATTGTGGAAGACAGTGTGACAATTTTCAAAGACCTATAAGCAGAAATACCATTTAACCCAGCATTCCCATTGCCAGGTATTTACTCAAAGGAATAGAAATCATTCTATTATAAAGATACATGCATGTATAGTATTTGAAAAAAATAATGACATAGACTGCCAGCTAGACTAATAAAGAGAAGAGAGAAGAATCAAATAGACACAATAAAAAATGACATAGGGGATATTACCACTGACCCCACGTAAATGCAAGCAACCATCAGAGTATACTACTAGGTTGGTATAAACTAATTGTGGTTTTTGCCATTAAAAGTTATGCAAAAACTGTAATTACTTTTCCACCAACCTAATATAAAAACCTCTATGCAAATAAACTAGAAAATTTAGACGAAATGGTTACATTCCTGGACATATACACCCTCACAAGGGTGTATGCAGCCATAAAAAGAAATGAAATCATGCCCTTTGCAGGGACATGGATGAAGCTGGAAGCCATTATCCTTAGCAAACTAACACAGGAACAGAAAACCAAACACCACATATTCTCACTCATAAGTGGGACCTGAACAATGAGAATACATGGACACAGGGAGAGGAACAACACACACACTGGGGCCTGTCTGGGAGCAAGCAGTGGGAGAGCATCAAGAAAAATAGCTAATGCATGACAGGCTTAATGCTTAGGTGATGGGTTGACAGGCGCAGCAAACCACCATGGCATACATTTACCTGTGTAACAAACCTACATGTCCTGCACATGTATCCCAGAAATTAAAATAATTTTTTTTTAAAAGGAAATATTTTGGCAATTTCTCAACAGAACTTAGAATTACCTTTCAACCTAGTGATCTCAATACTGGGTATGTATCCAAAAGAAAACAAATCATTCTACCAAAAAGACGTATGCACTCACATGTTCATTGCAACACTATTCACAAATAGCAAAGACATGGAATAAACCTGGGTGCGCATCCCCAGTGCAGAGGATAAAGAAAATGTGGTATATGTACACCATGGTATAGTATGCAGCTGTAAAAAATAAAATCATGTTCTTTGCAGCAATATGGATGCAACTGGAGTCCATTATCCTAAGTCAATTAACACAAGACTAGAAAACCAAATACAGCATGTTCTCACTCATGAGATGGAGCTAAACATTGGCTACTCATGGGCATAACAATGGCACCAGTAGATACTGGAGACTACTAGAGGGGGCCAGGAGAGAGGGGAGCAAGGGTTGAAAAACTATTGGGTACTATGCTCAGTACCTGAGTGATGGGGTCCATCATACCCTAAACCTTAGCATCATGAGCTATACCATCCATGTAACAAACCTGAACATGTAATCCATGAATTTAGACTACAAGTTGAAATTATACATTAAAAAAATGACAGCATAACAAAAAAGAGTGACAAAATGCATTATGAAGCATTTAGCAAATCTTTCTCTAGATACCATTACAATGGGAATGAAAGACGAAGTGGAACACCCAGGGTCAATATTACTACGTGATATGTGAGTGTTTCTTCGTTCTTAAGGCTTTAATTTCTTTATCTAAATGAATTTAATAAAACATCTCAGACATCAATCCTCACACTCTTTGCACATACAAATCACGTGGAGTGCTTAAAATGCAGATTCTGCATTTTGGAGTAGGCTTGAGCCTATATTCCTGACAAGATGCAGGTGAAGCCAATACTATTGGCCCACAGTCCACATTTTGAGTGGCCGAGAGCCAAAACTTTACACGCCTTATTCACATGCATACAAATATGAGTTTTAGAAGGCTTTGGGAATCCCAGGTGGTCAGTAAAATTCTTCTTCAGTGTAGCAGAAACTAGAAGCAGTTGGTTTTTGTTTTGATGCGCTTTCAACATTTTAATTAATATCACTAAGTGGTACTACAAAAATTGTCAACTCTTTATTTTTAAATATTAGCTTTAAAACAGCAAAGGCAGGAAATAGTTACCAACATGTAAAACACTGTAGGAGGTGAGGGTGACAAATGATTAGCTCGTGAAGAGGCAGTAATTTAGAAAGCCAACGGGAGCATTGAAAAAACTACAACCCTCAAATCCCCATCAATCACTCCCTAAACTCTAGTTTTAGTACTCTCATGGAAAAAAAAAAAGAAAGTTGAGTAACACACAAAGAAAGAACTCAGCTGTAAGCCAGGGCATCTTCCTCTGTTATAAATGAAACAGGTCAGGTATATTTACGAGATGCCTCAAAAATGAGTCACATCTGGACTTGCTTTGTTTTTTACACCCATAAATCTATGCGTAGCCCTCAACACTCTTTCTTCTTTGTAAATTGTTTCCTTTCACAGCCTATGTCCCCAGGATCAAATTAAATGAAGCTGCTCACCTCTGTGAGGACAGCGAATCAGTGAACTTCCCGAAGAAAGCGATATTGAATGGTATTGATAAGAAAAAGACACCATGCATTATGGAAGAAGCAATCTTCCCTGACATCCCTCCCTGGAAGGCAAGGTGATTAAGAGAACGCAGAGCAAGGGGGCAGAAAATACTCCATGGAAGCATTCTAGATGCTTCCATGTCCACTAATTTTAACTTGGTTGGTATTTGATTTGATTGGAGCCTTCTAGGCTTTGTATGAAATCAAATGAGAATTTATCCATGGAATGTAGCAAGTAGAATAAAATGTCCCTGACATTTGTTGCAAACCTTGTGGTTTCAGGGTCTGTAAACTTGGATGCTTTTTAGCTTACTCCAAATCACTATACAGGCAAAGCTTGTTTTACTTAAAAGTTTAGATAAAAACGTATATGAGGAGGCTGGGCTTGGTGGCTCACGCCTCTTATCCCAGCACTTTGGGAGGCCAAGGCAGGCGGGTCACCTGAGGTCAGGAGTTCAAGACTAGCCTGACCAACATAGAGAAACCCTGTCTCTACTAAAAATACAAAATTAGCCAGGTGTGGTTGCACATGCCTGTAATCCCAGCTACTCAGGAGGCTAAGGCAGGAGAATCGCTTGAACCCAGGGAGGTGGAGGTTGCTGTGAGTCGAAGTCACATCATTGCACCCCAGTCTGGGCAACAAGAGTGAAACTCCATCTCAAAAAAAAAAAAAGCATTAAGCATGTTATTATACAAGATTCCCAGAATGAATAATTTGCAGCCATTCTTCTTCCCACCCTGCGTTGTATTAGAAATGGTGGAAGTAGAGGAGGGACTGGATTGGATCTCTCTCTCTCCTACGACTTATATATTTTCTCCAGGTATGTGATTATTGTCAGCTGATACACCCATCGGGAGGTTTAAAGGGCTGCAATGCACTATAGCATATCCAGCTTTCCTTCTTTCACGATTCCCCCGAGGTAGGTATGCTTGACTCCAGTAGTTTCTCCTATATGGAAAAAGAAGCTGAGACCCTGTTGGGTAGAAAAGGTATCATCAGCTGATAGAAAAGGTAGGGGCTGCTTCCTGGGCCTCGTGATTGAAGTCTAGTCAGCTTTTCACTTCTGAATACCACCTCCCTTCTGCTCTAGTGACAAGAAGCACAATGATCTGGGGCCAGATCAAAGTAAATAAAAGATTTATCACCCTTGAAATATGCCTAAAAAACAGGCTCAGCCTAAGGGCATATGGTATACATCCTCAGTTTTTAAATGACTAAAATCAAGGAAGGTAAAAAGAAAAATAAGCAAAAAAAAAAAAAAATTTCTTTTACAGAAAACCAATCTGATAAGATTAAGACACTTAAAATTGATGGAGAAAAATTGCTAAGTGCCATAGGTCAGATGAAAAGAGGTAATTATTTACTGGAGAGCTGTTGATGTGAGTGAAAGGTGGGGTGGCAAAAAGGTCTAAGTACTGTTCACCCTGCTTTATTTACCTGGAAATTACTCACTTGTCAAAGAAATTAGGCCAAATCCCACTGCGAACCTAACTGCTTAAGGAACTTCCTGCAGATACCAGACCACAAACTAATTTTGGAACTCCCGGGGCCTCACCTGGCTCCACTCTTCCCCAGGTAATGCATTGCCAAGTCACTAATTGATTCCAATTTCACTCTGTGGTTTCAGGGTCTATGAACTTGGATGCTTTTCAGCTTACTCCCAATTACTATACAGGCAAAACTTGTTTTATTGCGCTTCATTATTTGCACTTTGTAGTTACCATTTTTATTGCATTTTAGGTTTTGGGGTACATGTGAAGAACATGCAAGATTGTTGCAGAAGTACACACATGGCAGTGTGATTTGCTGTCCTCCTCCCCTTCACCTATATCTGGCATTTCTCCCCATGCGTTTTTTTTTTTTTTTTTTTTTTTTTTTTTTTAATTACAGATTGAACGTTTGTAACAACTCTGCACTGAGAAGCTCTGTTAGGGCCATTCCAACACTCTGACAGCATACATTCCCTTTGTGTCACATTTTGGTAATTCTTACAATATTTCAAGCTTTATGTTCATTATTACATCTGTTATGAGAACTGTGACCAGTGATCTTTGATAATACTATTGTAATTGTTTTGGGCTGCCAGAAAGCATGGCCACAGAAGACAGCAAACCTAACTGATAAATGTGTGTGTGGTGTGTGTGTTCTGACTACTCCACTGATTGACTTCACTCCCTCTTTCCTTGGGTTTCCCTGTTCCCTGAGTCTCAAAAATACTGAGATCAGGCCAATTAATAATCCTGGAGTGGCCTCCGCATGTTCAAATGAAAGAAAGAATTGCACATCCCTCACTTTAAATCAAAAGCTAAAAATGATGATGCTTAGTGAGGGAGTCATGTTGAAAGCCAAGGTAAGTCAAAAACTAGGCCTTGTTTGCCAGTTATCAAAGTTGTGAGTGCAAAGGAATCATTCTTGAAGGAAATTAAGCATAGTGCTACGGTGAACACAGGATAAATAAGAAAGAAAAGCAGTATCATTACAGACATGGAGATTGTTTTCATGGTTTGGATAGAGGATCAAACCAGCCACAACGTTTTCTTAAGCCAAAGCCTAATCTAGAGCAAAGTCTGAGCTCTCTTCAATTCTATGAAGGCTGAGAGAAGTCAGGAAGCTGCGGAAGAAAAGTTCTAAGCTACCAGAAGTTGGTTCATGAGGTTTAAGGAAAGAAGCTGTCTTTATCATATAAAAGTGTGAGGCAAAGCTCCAAGTGCTGGTATAGACGTTTCAGCAAATTATCAAAAAATTTTAGCTAAGATCATTGATGAAAGGGGCCACACTAAAACAACAGATTTTTCAATGTAGATGAAACTTTGTATCAGAAGAAGCAGCTATCTAGAACTTACATAGTTGAAGATAAGTTAATGCCTGGCTTCAAAGCCTCAAAAGATAGGCTGTCTCTCTTGTTAGGGGTTGATGCAGCTGGTGCCTTTAAGTTGAAGCCAATGAGTAAGTACCATTGTAAAAATCCTAGGTCCCTTAATAATTATGCTAAATATACTTTGTTTGTGTTCTATAAATGGAGCAATAAAGCCTGGATGACAGCACATGTGTTTATTACAGTATGGCTTACTGAACATGGGTTAAGACCACTACTGAGCACAGAAGCTCTTTAATTAGGTCCAGTTTGTCCATTTTTTGTTTTGTTGCAATTGCTTTTGGAGTTTTTCTCATGAAATCGTTGCCAGGGCCTATGTCCAGAATGGTATTGCCTAGGTTATCTTCCAGTGTTGTTATAGTTTTAGGTTTTACATTTAAATATTTAATCCATCTTGAGTTGACTTTTGTATAAGGGAGGGAGGGATCCAGTTTCAGTCTTCTGCATATGGCTAGTTATCCCAGCACTATTTGTCAAACAGGAAGACTTTTCTTTGTCCATTGCTTATTTTTGTTGACATTGTCAAAGATCATACAGTTGTAGGTGTGTGACATTATTTCTGGACTCTCTATTCTGTTTCATTGGTCTGTATGTCTGCTTTTGTATTGGCACCTTGCGGCTTTGGTTACTGTAGCATTAGAGTATAATTTGAAGCCAGGTAATATGATGCCTCTAGATTTGCTATTTTATCTTAGGATTACCTTGGCTATCCAGGCACTTTTGTGGTTCTATACGAATTTTTTAAATAGTTTTTTTATTTCTGTGAAAAATATCACTCATAGTTTGATAGGAATAGCATTGAATCTGTAAATATTGTTTTGGGCAGTACGGTCATTTTAACAATATTGATTCTTCTCCATAAGCATGGAATATTTTTGTCTGTGTCACTTTTATTTCTTTCAACAGTGTTTTTTAATTCTTGTTGTAAGACATCTTTTTTCTCCCTGCTTAGCTGTATTCCTAGGATATGTGTGTGTGTGTGTGTGTTCGCGCGCACACGCGCGTGCATAGTAAATGGAATTCTGTTCTTGATTTGGCTCTTAGTTTGGATGCTGTTGTATAGAAATGCTACTGATTTTTGTACATTTATTTTGTATTCTCAAACCTTGCTGAAAGTGTTTATCAGGTCAATGAGCTTTTGGATAGGGACTAGGGGTTATCTAGATATAGAATCATATTGTCTGCAGATAGGGATAGGTTGACTTCCTCTCTTTCATTCTGGATGACATTTATCTTGCCTGATTGTTGGGGCTAGGACTTCAACTACTGTATTGAACAGAAGTGGTGAGAGAGGCCATCCTTATCTTGTTCCAGTTTTCAAGGGGAATTATTCTAGTTTCTACCCATTCAGTATAATGTTTACTGTGGATATTTTATAGATGGCTTTTGTTATTTTTGAATATCTTCATTGTCTATTTTGTTGAGGATTTTTAACATGAAGGGATACTGAATTTTATTAGAAGCCTTTTCTACCACTATTGAGATGTTCACGTGGTTTTGGGTTTAGTTCTGTTTATGTGATGAATCGTATTTATTGATTTGTGTATGTTGAACCAACCTTGCATCCCAGGAATAAAGCCTGCTTGGTTAAGATGGATTAGCTTTTGATGTGCTGTTGGATTCAATTTTCCAGTATTATGTTGTGACTTTTTTGCATCTATGTTCATCAAGGATGTTGGTCTGAATTTTTTTACTGTTGTTATCATGTCTCTGCCAGGTTTTGCTATCAGGAGGATGCTGGCCTCATAGAATGAGTTGAGAGGAGCCCTTCTTCAATTTTTGGAATAGTTTCAGTAGGAACGGTATCAGTTCTTCTTTACATATCTAATAGAATTCAGTTCTCAATTCATCTGGTCTTGTGTATTTTTCTCGTCGATAGGATTTTTTATTACCAATTCAATTTTGGAATTCATTATTGATCTGTTCAGGAATTCAATTTCTTCCTGAGTTATTCTTTAGAGGTTGTATGTTTGCAAGAATTTAACCATTTCTTCTAAGTTTTCTATCTTGTGTGCATAAAGGTATTCATAGTAGTCTCGGAGGGTTTTTTCATCTTTTCAGGTCAGACACTTCCCTTCAGGCTAAAATTTCCTATGGGTCCCTCGCCATGTTTCACTGCAGATGTTCCTGCACCAAACCTGCTGGGCTCTGCACAGCCTGAAATCCTTCCTCTAGCATCTCTCTAAGCAGCTCTTCCTGCCAGCTCAAGTGTCCATTGAGGTCCTGAGGTGTCTTGCTGCCAGGACTCCAGAGGTCCACGGCAAGAGTGGGCCACTCCTTGCCTGTTCAAGTCATTCTTTCCTCAGGAGTCTCTGGGAACCAGGAATGAGTCCTGGTGCACAGTAGCCCTGTGCTTGGTCCACAGCTTCCTCCCTCTTCAGCCTAGTGTCTATCCTTCCTCTGTTCACTCTCAATGCCTTCTCCACAAAGATCTGCTTGGAGTGTGCCACTGTTCCTGGTTTCTGGTCCCTCTTTGGCAGATGTTTCTCCTGTGTCTAGTTGGCCATCCTGCTTATAATCAGGACACTTATTTTTGCTCAGAAAAACAAAGATTATTTTCAAAATGTTACTTTTCATAGATAAAGTGCCTTTTCATTCAAGAGCCCTGATGGAGATATATAAAGAGATTAATGTTGTTTTCATGCCAGCTAAGACAACATCCATTTTGTAGACCATGGATCAAGGAGTAATTTGAACTCTCAGTCTTACTATTTAAGACATATATTTCATAAGGCTATAGCTTCCACAGACAGTGATTTCTCTGATGGATCTGGGCAAAATAAATTGAAAACCTTTTGGAAAGGACTCACCAATCTAGCTGCCATGAAGAACATTTATGATTCATAAGAGGAGGTCAACCTATCAACATTAACAGGAGTTTGGAAGAAGGTGATTCCAGCCCTCATAAATCACTTCGTGGGGCTGAAGACTTCAGTGAAGGAAACAACTGAAGATGTGTTGGAAATAGCAAAAAAAAAAAAAAAAAATTAGAATTAAAAAACATCCATTAAAAGTTTATTGAATGAGGGGTTGATTTTTATGAATGAGCAGAGTAAATGGTTTCTTGAGAAGTCATCTACTTCTAGTGAAGATGCTATGAACATTGCTGAAATGACAACAAAGCATTTAGAATATTACATAAAAGCTGATAAAGCAGTGGCAGGCTTTGTGAGGGATGATTCTAGTTTTGAAAGAAGTTCTACTGTGGGTAAAATGCTGTCAAATGGCATTTCATGCCACAGAGAAATATTTTATGAAAGGAAGAGTTAATTTACGTGGTAAACCTCATTGTTGTTATTTTAAGAAATTGCCACAGCCACCCTAACCTTCAGCAACCACCACTCTGATCCATCAGCAGCCATCAATATTGAGGCAAGGCCCTCTACCAGCAAAGAGATCATGAGTTGCTAGGGACTGACATGATCATTAGAATTTTTAAGCAAGAAAATATTTTTCAAGTATGTACCTTATTTTCCTAGACATAATGTATGTATACGGTAGTCTATTGAATACTTAATCGACTACAGTATAGTGTAAATGCAACTTTTATATGTACCAGGAAAGAAAAAGTCGTCCAACTGCTTTTGTTTCAATGTTTGCCTTACTGCAGTGGTCTGAAATCGAATCCACAATATATCTACGGTATGTCGATAAAAGCACTGTGAATTAATTATATGTGTTCAATAAATAATAAAACAAAAAGAAACAAAAACAGTAAGAATCACTCTTCAATGAGCATTGAATAAAGACTAAAAAGTGAAAAGTGGTTTGCAGATATTTTTAATCTTCAAAGTGAAACAGAATCAGCAATTAGATGAACAAAACAGATGAGGCTTTTAATGGTCTCAGTTACTTTTTGATATATTAAATTATGTAGACTTGGAGGACGGTGGTATTAGCTGTGAAACAGGAGCCTAATCCTTGAGACACCTATGAACTTTACATAGTTGCAACATGCGTTACAAAAAGTATGGAGCTCGGGGATTTTGAAGTCATCTATCCTAAAACACTTGCTAACAATCTTTTTGACAGATCCAAGAGAGGTTTAGTAGGTCATGGAACTAAAAAGATCATAGCTACTGAATTTCCAGCACAGCGTAGTTAGTGGTTCAGCTTATGTCATTAGCACATTCTCTCTTGCTCACACTCACTCTTTCTTTCTGTTTCTCTCACTTGCATTCCCACATGTTGAATGCAATCTCAGTTGGATCCCTTGGTCAAGGTTGCAAACCAACTGCAGCAGCTCCAGGCTTTACATCCCCTGCTGTTCTGCTCCAGAGGTCAACAGTATCTGCTCTGTCTTGGAAGCCTCAGGAAATTCTTGGGCATCTCAACAATCTTGACACGGTCACAGATTCACCTCAAAACCAATTCATATCACCATTGAAATTCGTCTCAGGACTGACCAGGCCAAAGGGACATGGCACGTTTGGGACCAGGAGTAGAATCAACCTCATGGAAACTATATGAATCCGGTGGAGGATGGATGGATGTTAAACAAAATTTAGGATGATTTCCTTGGAGTGACTTGAATCTGAGAGAATCCAGGTTTGGAATTTATGGGCACCATCTTGTGGAACTTGGATTTGAGGCTAACGTGAAACAGGGCAGCAGAGCCCAGCGACAGGCCGATTTCTGTGACAGGATTTGGAGATTTGTCTGAAAACGAAACCTCCTTCTACCCATTAGTTTTATGTTTTCTCTTGTTTAAGCCAGTTTGGGTTGTATTTTCTGTCACTGTCCCAATATCATAAAGGAGCTGCTTGAATCAGAAGAAGCCCCATGACGCTGAGACACTGGGCAGAATTTTAAATCTTTAAAGCTCCAATTTTCCAAAAGCTGTCACTATCAGATGTTTGATCTATAGATCTCTAGATGTTTCACTTATTGGCCCTAGAGAGAAATGCACACGCTGATATTGTGGGTAAAATATAAACGTGTGCCCTGTGTGTTTGCCCACACGCACATATGTGCTCTGTGTGTGCTGTGTACATTTTTCTTGGGACAGCGCAGAACATTAAGAGAACTGGACAAATTCTAAACTCTTTCTGGACTCAGGTGTAAGTGTTCCTCTCTAACCTTGGAGTTTCAGTTCATACTATCCCTCAAGTCCTAGAACAACACCCATTATTTTCTCTTGGGCAGGTTAGAAATTAGTTACCAGCTCTCACCTC